AAGCCTCTGAGGGAGGGGGATCTCATCATTCCCTGTGGGGAAAATAGAAACAATACAAACCTGGAAAGACATGACGTATTGCATGGAGTCAATTGCTTTCTCTACTCTATCAGAGAAATATTTGGAAATACATTTTCCTGCAAAAAACATGTAAGGCAACCTCCACTTTGGCTCTTCAAATTTAAATTACTGGTGCTAAAAATGTAGTAATAAAAAGCAAACAAAACTGAAACTGCACAAAGTTGTTCATGTATGCAAGTGGCGCTTAAGTTAAAAAGAGTAAGTAAACTTTGCAATACCAGTAAACCTCCTGAGGACCTCCACAATTTTATGTGCAACCTCTTCCTCAGGCAGTGTCTCCATGTGCAGTGCCTCTTCTCCAGAAAGCCAGCAAAAGACAGTGTTAGGAGCCTTTGGATCTACATAGAAGATGTACAACTTCTTGTACCACTCCTCAGGGCACCTAGGCTCTGTTTCTTCTTCCCTACAAACCTGTGTATAATAAGAAATTTCCATTCCTGTTGATTGAATATAAAAAAGTTAAACTCTAAAGTTGCCAGGACAAATTAGATTCACCCAACAAGCACATGGCCTGTGGCATGTTGGCTAATACACTATTAAAGGGTCTATAATTTTTATAAAGCTCACCAGCTGAAATCCAGGACTGCCTGCTTCCCAGAAGGGTTTCTCATACTCCAGGAAGATCTTGTCCACGACTCCAAAACCCATCTTTGCAATGGATCTCAGCTTCTTCTCAGGCAGTGGAGGCTGGAGGAATGTCGAAGCATGTTTCTTCAAGAAGCCAAGAGGAACTGTTATGATAATGTGATCAGCCTTGAGGATCTCTCCATCTTCACATACAATGCTTACAGCATGGTGGGAATGATGTTCAGCACCGCTACTGTTGGTGTCAGCTTCCACCTGATCCCACAGAACACATTTAACTTGTTTGTTATACAAAATACACTCAGATGGAATATCCTTCAGTAGGACACCAAACACTGTGTCATACCCATCAGGCAAGTTTATGTTACCTCCCGGAATAGATACATATTGGCCAAAATTATCAAGTCCAACTTCCTTCATATTATGGCATCCAGTTGTGAAGGTCTCTTGCTTAAGGTGTTGCTTAAAGAGAGCCATCTTCAGCCTCTTGACATCATCATTGTCAGTAGCCTGGTTGAGTCTCTTAGGAAACTCTTGTTCAAGGTAGTTACCTGAATATAGATAAGTCAAGATGAAAAATAAATCCACATGATAGGCCGATCCTCTCTTGATAGCCCTGAAACAGTGCATCATTTCACACAAAATGTTAGATGCCGGAGATATTTACAGTAGTATCTTTATACCAATAATCTTGAAAACTTACCAACTGATTCATCAGGGTTGTGAGGAGTTTTCTCATTGAGGAAGAAGTTGCAACATTCTTCTATCAGTTCCTCATACATGTGCAGGAACTCTTGCACAATCTCTCTGTCTATGACCTGGCCCCCAGGCATGAAGGTGTCCCCTCGAAGCCTGTAACGATCTTTGAAGGTTTGGAGCCTAGCAGTATTCTTCAAAAGGTTGTGATCTTCAGCAAGTTTGTAGATGGGGTTACCTTCACTCCCATGGATCCAGTTGGCACCAAGCTCTATGATGTTTGGGCCTGTTTGGCAATGAAACATTGAGATATTGCAATACAAAAATCAGTTCTTATGCAGTTAATCTGATCAAGGCCATTCTAAAATGCCCTTGATCTGATGTCTTATCCTTCCACCAGAAATGGGAAAGTTTAAGTCTTTCAACTACTTAACTCTACTTTTACTGGGGAGGTCAACTTTTTTGGGAGAATTGCTGAATTTTAATACAACCTGCTTCAACTAGCATTGCTGACAAACAGCGGATGGAGGAGACAAAAGCTGCTGAAGTGAGGCTGCATCACAGGCAGACGGAATGTTTTGAAAAGGTAGACAGCAGTAGAAATGTAAGTGATCTGGTTGGTCTTATTAAAAGAGCCCTTCAGTTTGATGCGAAAATAATCATAAGATTCAGAAAATAAATCACCAAAAGGAGTGCAATTAATAGAATTGTTGCAACCAATCCACTCAGAATCCTAAAATANTCAGCCGTATTTGTCCAGTCACAAGTATGCAAATGAATTTCAGATATATGCACAACAGGTAATCGCACACAATTTATATTACACTACAAATGTAATAGTTTAAGCTTATTTCGGCCAATATTACTCCTACAATATAACTGTATTTTCTACTACACCCTTAATATTCACCATCCCCCTGGCCTTTCTTGGCTACTAGTATTTTGGCTCACCCGTAGTGAACATTCTTCGTCACTCCAGCCTTTCTCTGATATTCTGACTTCCTCTGAACATTCTCAATTCCTATGAGGGCCAGCAATTAGAAGAATGTGTGAGTCAGAGGTGCGTAGAATGGCCATAGTGACAGAGGATGAGCCGCCGGCATGCTGCGTAGAATGGCTACAGAGCGACAGAGGAGGTTAAAGAGTGTCCCCCAGAGGTGCTTAGAATGGACAGAGTGACAGGGGATCTTAAGAGTCACATTGTTAAAACTTCTCGTACTTGTAATCCTAGCACTGAGTTTGTTTGAGCTGACCTGTAACACACGCTCATACATTATGGTACGTGGCTGCTCTCACCAGAAACATTTTGTAAATAGGTTACCTGATATCCCGTTATATCTTATTCCTGATATGACTTTTAGAATTGTATTTTATCATGTATTATGAATTTTATACTTGGATTTTAAAGGCGGATCTGTAAGCAATGACGCAATTCAGGTGTTGATTTTATATTGTACCTGCTATGTCATTGGTAATAAAATCTGAATCTGAATCTAAGAGTGAACCAGAGATGTTGGTCAGAGTGACAGAGAATGTTAAGAGTGAACCAGAGGTGCGTAGAATGGCCACTAGACTCAAGTGAAAACGAGTATTGTCTGTCCAGTATCCGTTTCTATGTGCGGGACACAACACCAGCAACAGCTGCCTCTGCTCCGCGTGTATTGCATTGTTCAATAAAATAAAAAAAATAAATAAATAGATAAAGTGACCTAGAATGTTAAGAGTGTGATTTAAGATTTAATACAAATATTTCACTGAGGAGGACATGAGCAGTTCAGCTAGAGTACAAGGTCACCCAGCATCCAAGGACACTCAGCTGTATCTGTATCGGTATAGCTAGTATAACCGCCCTTCGGCGTAACACACCAGCTTTGCAGGCTAGGCCTAGGCATAGGCGGAAGGCCTCGCAATTACCGTCTTTCCTGTCGAAATGCGAGCGATCATGCCGCGATTCAAGCGAGCCGGTCCCGAAGATACCCGAAACGGGAGGGTGCCGAAGGCACTCGGCACCCGAAGATCGGCGAAGCCGATCAGCGAGTCCCGAGCGAGGCCGAAGGCCGAGCGAGGGACGAGCGATTTTTGAACTACGGCGAAAGTTAGCGCAAAGGGTGACGGGAAATACTGGATCGCGCAAGGGGTGTCGGGAGATACTCCCGGAAGTAGGACGTAGGCGCGCTCGGAGATCGCTATTATTGGCCAATATTGGGTCCGCGGAGCAGGGGCCTAAAACCCATGGCCTAGGCAGCTGGCTATATCACACCGAACGGCTTGTTACACTCAATCTTTGCACATGTGATTGCAGGAGTTGTTTAAAGTTTTCTAGTGATGATGCCCCAACTGTGCTTGGTGGCAACGAGTTCCAGTCTACGATAGTTCTGGGGAAATACGAGTTTTTGAATACCTCAATTCTTGGTTGATAACTCTGATATTTGCCTTTGAAGGCATGACTGTTTCTTGTTCTTTTCTGGGCTGGTATCAGATACTTAGTGGTTGGTACGTCCACCAGTTTATTAGTCATTTTGTACATCATGCACAGTCTGGACATTCTACGTCTTTCTTCCAGCGACCCCCATTGTAGGTTTCTCTTCATTTCCGTTACACTAGCACCCCTTTGATAGTTGTTCGTGCAGAATCTTGCAGCTTGGTTCTGTACCCTTTCCAGTTTATCTTTGTCTCTCTCTGTATATGGATCCCATACTGTCGCGGCATATTCTAGGTTCGGTCGTACAAGCGACGTGTATGCAAGTTTTACCCTTGTTGGACATGACCACAGATTTTCGCCTAATCACTCCCAATGTTTGTTTGGCCTTCGCAGTGATGTTGTTAACATGCGTGCCCCACTTAAGGCTACTTGTCAATGTAACACCGAGATACGGATGGGTTTTTGTTGTTGCCAAAGCTTTACCACAGAACAGACACTATAGGAAGTTAGGGGTTAATTGGTGGAACACAAAGGTTGCACGTCTTCTTTGGTTCACCTAAGGTAGGACGGTGAAGTATCACTAGTCGGGGGGGGGGGGCGTTTCCGAAGCTACGTGACACAGATTTAGGGACAATACCAATTTCGTGTGGTTTATGCTGACCTCAGACACATGAACTTCAGATCCCTTCCTTTTAATGATGATGATGAAAGACCTTTATTGTACATTCATGCCACGACGGGCTAGGTACAGGTCAAGACTTAACAGACATATAACAAACGTATATAGAAAGGAGACAAAAGATACACTACTTGACTTAGACATACATTAGGAACATACAAGGGTATTATACTAAGCTATTAAATACAAAGTGTTCTAGTTCAATACTGAGATAATACAGGGTGGTCAACGTCTTCTCGCTTTTTTGTACAATGGAAAATGTGGGAACAGGTCATATTTGTGATACAGGGTTTGTGACATGGAGGTAGAAAAGAGACCTCTATGGTCTAGACGCATCAAAAATATAAATTTATCGTTACGGTTTCCATTTAGGTGTTCGAAGTATGGGAACTTCTCTTTGTTGTTGACTGATAGGTACTCTCCTTCTTCTTTCGTAACTTGTTGCTAGAAGATGTATCTCTGTTAGAGTGTTATGGTCAATTTGTGATTCCAGTAATAAATGTTTGGGTGTAAATATCTTTCAATCGTTGGCAGTAGTGATGGAGTTAATTATTGGTGATATGTTTGTGCCCAGAGATATATCAGGACGCTATGCGTAAGACGTATTCCTGCAAAGTTTTACAAATACCGGAAGCACAAGCCACTCACAAGTCTCTCGTTGTTGACATGAGAAGGCGTCTGCTTCCAGACTGTCAGCCTGTGAGCAGTGAGATGACCCTAAGGTCACCCTTGTCAGACAGTTGACAAAATCACCGGAGGCGCAGTTAACTGAAGTTCTCAGTTCTCACACACAGCTGACACTGGTAACAGGAAACGGCTGGGGGAGAAATAGACTTGCACAGTGTGTTGCAATCCATTCCTGAGACAGTGAGAGCACGGGCGGACAGAAAATTTTTCTGTGAGAATTTATGCTAGCCTGTTCAGCCTGATGCAGTTTTCGTTTCAGTTGTAACGTCCATGTGTGTCACGGAGCGTTGTAGTGTAATATAGAATAGGATAATGTTGTAAACACATTGTGTGCGATTACCTGTTGTGCGTATATCTGAAACTCATTTGCATTCTCGTGACTGGGCAAATACGGCACTGACCAGGCTAGGCCATTACTCGCGCTGCCGTCACCATGCACAGACGTGAAATCCTTCGTCTCCCTCTCGATGGCGGAATAATTCCAGGTTATGCACAAGCACCAAAGCTGCCCAGCTACAGANACCCTAAGGTCACCCTTGTCAGACAGTTGACAAATCACCGGAGGCGCAGTTAACTGAAGTTCTCAGTTCTCACACACAGCTGACACTGGTAACAGGAAACGGCTGGGGGAGAAATAGACTTGCACAGTGTGTTGCAATCCATTCCTGAGACAGTGAGAGCACGGGCGGACAGAAAATATTTTTTTGTGAGAATTTATGCTAGCCTGTTCAGCCTGATGCAGTTTTCGTTTCACTTGTAACGTCCATGTGTGTCACGGAGCGTTGTAGTGTAATATAGAATAGGATAATGTTGTAAACACATTGTGTGCGATTACCTGTTGTGCGTATATCTGAAACTCATTTGCATTCTCGTGACTGGGCAAATACGGCACTGACCAGGCTAGGCCATTTCTCGCGCTGCCGTCACCATGCACAGACGTGAAATCCTTCGTCTCCCTCTCGATGGCGGAATAATTCCAGGTTATGCACAAGCACCAAAGCTGCCCAGCTACAGATTCAAGGCCTTGGTCAAGGACGAGATGACGGGAAAGGAAACAGAGGAAATGCTCCTAGTCGTGGATCTGTCTGTGGGAAAGTATGCTCTTACTAAATTGCGGGGCCACGAAGATCATACAGCGAGGGGAAATCCAAGGATCTAGGACACTATGATATTCCACTATCCTTGGGACATGGAAGCCCGACCTGACGCTGCACAACTTAAAGACACAGACAGTGGTCTGAAGGTATGTGGGTAAGTTAGAAAGTTGCTACAAATGAGTTGATCAGTCTCTTTCAGCGATTGTTGTCTTCATATTGTTTTGATGTAACGTTTTCGTTCCATCAGTTTCTAGCGATCATCTTTAAAAACAGACCTTTGGATTAAGACAAGAAACGGTGCCATTCTGCGAACAAACGTTGAATGCCCTATGCGAAATATTGGCCCCTATCTTGTAAACAGAATCATAAATCGTTGGTCACAGCTGACCTGTTGTTTCCCGTCGTTCCGAAAAGCATTAAGTTCTTCAGAAAGGTTAAAACTTACATCCCATGTTCGTACGCTAAAACTTTTTCCTTTTTCTTCCAAAGCACCACATTTCCATCTGAAAGTTTTGAAATCATCTATATTTTATATTTCAAATTATTCATTATTATCATCAGTGTATCAGTCAGTGTACATGTACATGTGTATATGTCCGTTTTAGTACGAGGGTCGTTTTGTTTGAAGCCGTTTTGTTCTGAATAACGTTCGCCTGAAATCTGAATCTCTCCCTGGTTGACTAGTATTCTCCAGGATCTCTTTGATTTTGTCACTTGGATGTATTAACATGCTTTTTCGATGTCTCGTCATCCCACATTATTCGGTCTTGTGGCGTGGTTTTATTTGTATGGTGCAGTGCAAATTATTTCGTTGTCTCCGTTTTGATGCATAAATTGTCATTCTGGTTCTCTATGGTCGAACATTCCCTCTCTTTTTTAGACTCTCAATTCTTGTATTTTCTTGCAAAATAATGTGCTTGTTGTAATTTATGTTACGAATACGAGTTTCCAATAAACTTTGCAATTTATAAGTATCCATTGAGTCTGTCCAGCTCAGCTGAGAACGGAGATAGGGTCATCATAGGTGTTACCCGTGCCCACGTTAGCAATGATAGAGAACTGTGTGTACATGTGTTGTGTTTTTTATAAAATTAAAATTGTACTGTCAAATTATTCTCCCTTTTTGGGTAAATTTTACTTGTTAGTCTTGTGGAGACTGTGAAGCTGTGTCGCCAGTGAGTCCCACGTATATAGTGTTACACGTTACAGCAGTTGCCACCTGCATCTGCACGGTTGAGTGACAGCTAGGTTCAAACACTGACACATAGGGCCAGTCTTTCTGACCTATGGAGTTAATAGCTTGACTTAAAGAATGCGTGACAAATTGGAGATGACCTAACATGTCAGATGGGTAATTAATCTTCAGTTGTTTTAGCCTATTTTGGGCGGGCTGATTCAAGTCAAGTATGAAATGTTCATAATTGCACAATGATTGCATCAGGTACATTATATGTCAAATAGCATGAATTAGACATGCGATGTAATCTTAGCCAATGCTTCGTCATTCATAATCATCTGAGAGACTTTCATTAATGTCAAAATACAATTTTTTTGACGTTCACGACAAACACCCTCAAATAAACAAACAATACAATAAACCCTCGTATTTCTTCTGCAGGCTGTGATCTTCCCCACCAACCTCTGCTTGGAGAGCACAGATCGTTCACGTCAAGCCGCCGCCGGACGCACCCTCATCCGGTCCCGGTAGAGCTGTGGGCAGGGGCCAGGAAGTGAACCTGCGCAGTGTGCCTGGTTTGTACACCGTTATTTTATTGAAACCGATAATTTTTCTGTAATTTTCTTTATAGAAATGATTCTATCATTTCATATAAAACGATTAGTTTTCTGTTATTAGTTTATATAGAAAACGATTATTTTTCTGTTATTATTTTAGACAAAACGACCCCTGAAAATTCCCTGACTTTTTCTCTGAAGACTACGATGAAAGATTGTTAGAGACATCAGCTAACAGCTAACAGCTGATTTTCTCAACACTCTATTTTCCTGTTGTACCTATCCAACCATTTCTAAGCCAACCCGAGTAACAAACAAGAAGCCATAGGTGACAATCCTCCGTGAAGTTTTATATATTTCAACAAAATCCCAAGCGTCAACGCCAGACCTACTGTGCAGACATTATAATTAGGCAACGGTTAATACAATGAGGGCGCGTCACAAGCATAAAACATACAAAGAGCTAAATCCATTACTGCTCCCAGGGCGTGTAAAGATACTGTGCTTCACGTTCGAAGTTCATTTTAATTAAACAAACACAATATTTGCATTCACATAAAGATCGGACTATCATGGTCGTGTCTAGTAACAAAGATAGCCCCACCGTCTTACCGTGCCTGTACCTAATTAAGCGCGCCTGGAACAGGACAAATTCCAGCAACAGTTGCGGTAAGCACCGCGAGTGTTACTACCGCCGGCCAGATAACCAGGATATCTGCTTATAGTACCTCTGCCACCAGACAACTGCCTAAACCTACGGCCTATTCCATTGTTGTTGTTGTTGTTGTCCTTGTTTAACGTCTATTATGTCGCTAGACGTGGTCTCTAGGTGCTCAGTTTTTCACTTGGTTCAGTTCAGAGTCAATGATCTCTCTAGGTATTAACACTTGGTGACTCGTGCTTGTGTGAAGCGGAGAGTGTTTCTAGGAGAGCACGTCAAATCGGCGCGTACTCTCGATGTACCGGGAGAGGGCTAGGTACATCTGGTTGTTTGCTCCTTCAGGAAGTCCTACTCTCATTCCGGCCTGTGTGACGATGTCCGTGTCTCTGTCTTCCTTTGCTGTGTTGTAGGTCTCGTGAATGTTGTCTGCTTCCATCAGCATGTGATGCCTTTCGTTCTCATAGCGGGGGCAGTGGTACAGGTAGTGGTTGGTGGTCTCCAGAGCGTCGCAGTTTGGGCAGTATGGTGAGACTTCAGGGTTTTTCCAGTTCTGGTACGCATTGAGTCTGGTGTGCCCGCTCACCAGCTGGTTGATGGTGACTTGTGTGCTTCTTCTACCAAGTGCTCTGCCTTTCTTCTTCATGTTCGTTCCTATCTTCAGCATGTGTTGACTTGTCGTGTTGAGTTCTGTTCTTCTATTCCATCTCTCATGTGCTTTTGTTTCATGGCTTGATGCTTGGTCCAGGATGTGCTGTTTTGGGGGTTGGTTGATGCCTCGTTGGCTGCAAGTTTAGCTTCGTTATCTGCGATTTCATTACCAGAGATACCCATGTGCCCTGGGCACCATGTGATTTGTGTGGTGATACCTTGCTGTCGGAGTGCTTGTAGCTTGTTTCTGATGGTGTGTACCAGGGCGTTGTAGGCTTCCACCTGCTGTACTCCTATGACGTTCTCGATTGCTGCTTTGCAGTCACACAGGATGAGTACTCTCTTGCTTGTGGTTTGTCTGCGGGTGATGGTGTCTATGGCCAGATGAAGTCCCTCCAGTTCCCCCTCATAGTTGTTGGACTTAGCGGCGACTGCTTTGCGAACTGCGAACGGTTCTGTGTGACCCCATCTTTCATAGATGACTGCGGCACACCCAGTGGGGCCTGGGTTACCAAGGGCAGAGCCATCTGTGAATATTACGGTGGTAGGTGTAGTGCTGCTGGTTATTTCTGTCAGGATGTCTAGGATTTTGCTTCTTGCCTTGTCCTTTCCCTCTGTAGTGTTGGTTTCAGTTACGAATGTGCCTGTGATGGAGCCAATAGCGAAGGGAGGGAGTCTTGCATCATAGTACGGTTCCTTGTCCATCATGTGTTCATCAATGTCGCCCTTCATTTCATTGAATCTGGTTTGCAGCAGGTGGATTGGGGTGCCAGTTTGAGTGTTTGACTTCCGTGTGCTATTCCACAGGATTGTAAAAGTAGGGATGTTTCTAAAATATGCATTTACTTCAATATCAAAACAGCTACGGTAAAAGAAAAAAGACGTGCATCATCCCGGACATAATGCCACACCACATGCGAAATTACACAGAAATGCGACGTACGGAAGAATGCGTTTTGGCTGCGAACATCTTCCAAAAAACTTGGCATCTCTTAACCATGGGCAAAAACATCTGGAACCACTTATAAAAACCACCCCGTATCTGCATGAAGTTCCACCCCCCACTGCTATTCCAAACAACGCGTTTTTCTGGACCATTCCAATTCGCCTCGTAATTGTAGGGGTGCGTCTGCAATATTACATTGACCGCGAAAGCAGCAACGGCAAAAATACACATTCGTGCATCAACACGGGCATGCCCGCAGACGGCGTATAAAATTGCGTGCCGATTACACAAAGAGAACCCAGTGTTTTGACTGCGAACATGAAAAATCAGTCGATCACAACACTCCGTCCGGAGGTCCTGACCTCCTTCACGGAGTAATAAGTCAGCAACACTAATTGATAACATTATGACAAATTCCCTGAATGATTCTTACGTAACAGGTTTGTTTTTTACTGATATATCTGATCATTTTCCAATCTTTTATATTAAAGAATCGCTTACCAGAGATAAAATCAATTGTAATGAACGTACTCAACGTAGATTTAATAGTATTAATAAAAAGAAATTTGAAAGATTATTAAACGATGAAACTTGGGAGGGCATATATCAAAGTACCGATACTTATTCTGCTTTTACGTATTTCAGTAAAATCATTCATTCTCACTTCACGAAATGTATGTAAACAGAACTGATGGAGAGTCATACATAGATGATCCACAAGACATTGTTTACAGATTCAACGATTTTTTCACCAATATTGGGCCATCCCTTGCAAACAAAATCGAAAAGACCGATTGTTCCCCTTTGCAATATTTTGAATGTTCCTATCCACACACTAACTCTTTTGAAGACCCAGATTCTACAGAGATTCACGATATCATCATAAATTTGAAAAATGCAGCTCCAGGTCATGACGAATTAAGTGCATCTTTGATAAAGCAAAATGTCTCCTCCCTTTTAGAACCACTTACTCATATTTTTAAGCTTTCTTTGTCAACTGGATCAGTACCAACAGAATTGAAAATGGCCAAAGTAATACCCCTATACAAAACCGGAGATCTTGACATATTTACAGACTACAGACCTATATCAATCCTTCCTACGTTTTCAAAAATCTTAGAAAAATTAGTTTATAAAAGAATTTTAAGGCACTTAGAAACAAATAATCTTCTTTATTCTCATCAATATGGATTTCGCAAAAAATATTCTATGTGCATGCCCCTTTTATGCTTAACTGATAAAATGACCGAAGCGTTAGAAAACAACGAATACACCGTAGGCATATTTCTTGATCTTTCAAAAGCATTTGATACCGTTGACCACAAAATATTACTTGACAAATTACATATGTACGGCTTACAAAACACAGTTCATGATTGGCTTAAAGATTATCTTGCTAACAGAAAACAATATGTTACCAATGGCATTTACAAATCACAACATAGTCATAACTCGATAACATGTGGCGTACCTCAAGGATCCATCCTGGGACCCCTACTTTTTCTAATTTACATAAATGATTTAGCACATGTATCTCAAAAATTATTTGCTCTTCTCTTTGCTGATGATACAAATCTATTCATGTCTCATAAAAATCTCAACACGTTAGTAACTACAATGAACGAAGAATTGGATAAAGTAAATAAGTGGTTTAAAACAAACAAATTGTCTTTAAATGTTAAAAAAACAAATTTAATAATATTTGCAGGTAAAAATAGAAATTACCCGAAGGAAAACGTACAAATATTCATAAACAACAACCTTATTACTCAAGTGACACACACCCATTTCTAGGGGTTTTAATAGATGCAAAATTAACATGGAAAAATCACATCGATCTTATTAGTAAAAAAATATCCAAGAACATTGGTATTATACGGAAAGTAGGAAATATTTTATCTCCTAAAACATTTATTACTCTCTATTATAGTCTTTTCTATCCTTACTTAAGTTATTGTAATATTATATGGGCAAGCACGTACACTACATCACTTAAACCGCTCTTTTTGCTTCAGAAACGATACATCAGGATAGCGTCAAAAGTTTCATTCACTTTCCCTACTGCACCATTGTTTAAAAAGCTCAAAATACTGTCCATAAATGACATAAATAAACTACAAACAAGTCTTTTAATTTACAAGATAATGAATAAATGTCCTTGCCTTCCTGAAACCTTCCACGACACCTACACCTTCTTATTAAACTCAGACATCCACAACCACTTTACACGCCAATGCAATTATTTAAGGCCATCCAATGCGAAATCGAATCTTCGTCAATTTACAATCACGTACAGAGGCCCAACAATTTGGTTCCAAAGTTGTTGGGTTTTTTTCGACGGCGTTGACGCGTTGAAGTCATGACAATGGTAGTTAATGTGATGGAGCTATTATTCTATTTAGTATGCGTAGGTTTTGCTAGTTTTGTTGTTTGTTTTTATTCAGTGGCAATCCTAGTGCGTTTATGTGTGAGTACAGTTGTCCGTTTTGACAGGATGGGCCGGCGTGAGTTTGTACTGTACATGTATAGGTTGACCCAGCCTATGTTCTGGGTCAATGTCGACGTCGCCAGTGTTTGCAATTGGTTGTCAGGTTGAAACTGTGGGGCACATGTCTTCTTTTTTTTCAGTGTACATACAGCGACCCTCGGCCAAGAATGGTCATAACGGGGCACACGACAGCCAACGGGCACCGTCTCTTCCGTTCCTGACCCGGGGAAGCTGACCACTGATGGACCTGACATGTCAGCCACCCATCCATCTGGCCAGGGATGTACTTCCCCGGGCACTTTCTCTTCTTCTCTTGCATTAGGGAGCAGACCGTCCACGTCAAGCCACCGCCGGACACACGCTCATTCCCCGAAACAACCAACGTCTGCATCCCCAGCCCTGAGACATCCATCCCCGGTCCTGGGAGAGCTGTGAGGCCAGTCACACCGCCTGAGACCGACGTGACGGCAGTTCCTGGCACAGCCGATGCGACGAAGCCAATGTGAACGTGCTTTTCGATGTCCGGTAGAGGGACGCAAAAGACAATAGAGGATGCATGATCGATACCAAATGTCATAATGTATGAAGACATTAGCCAGAGGACCACCCTTTGACCAAATTGTTTGATTGTCTGGATCCATCATATGTCCTAACTACAAGGACAGTAACGACAAAACAATTGAGCATACAGAACGACAGTCATTGTAACATTGTAGTAGTTCAATTGTATTGTCCCTTATTTTATTACACTGGGCTTCTCCAGTAGCCAGGCTTTGAGACTGGAGAATGATAGACAGTCTATATTGTAATCGAAACTGATTGCTGTTATTTGGTACATCCAGTTATCAAACTAACGAGTACAACGGCCATATAAGATTTGTTCAATGATTCACTGCTATACAATAATCTCTTAAATACAAGGGAGGCATGTATGGTATTTATAGCAGGACATCTGCATAGTTTTTGTACAATATCCAATGATCATATGCAACAGGAGTTCCCTGGCTGTACAGCTGTAATAGATGACCTAGTACAGGTGTCTCCCACTGCAAGGTCAGAGGTCAAGTCTAAAAGTCTT